CCCCCCCCCCCCCCCCCCCCCCTCCCCCAGGATTTCGCCTTATCGTGATTTATTAGCATAGGTGTATGGGATTGCATTCCCCGTGCCCTCCTGCCGAGCTCAGAGCTCAACAGCAGCAGCACAGCAGCACAGCAGCCCGGCAGGCAGACAGGCTACACTGCTGTACAGGCTAGCACAGCAAGAGTAGGAGGGAGGGGCGGGAGCAGGGTAGGTCGTGCCCCAGTGATCTCCTCTGGTTGTGCATGTCAGTGCGCCATGTTCACGTATTTCAGGGCCCTCCTCGTCGTGGAGTTGCTGCTGGCGCATCTGTCCGCTACTAGCATTGCGGCCGCTGCTGCTGCTGTGCTGCGGCCCGGAGACATCGTATCGATGTCTTACAGGAGCAAGGTCACTGGGAGCGTGGAAGAGGTGTGTGAGACTCGTTTCAGTGTCATGCATGTGTTGGGGCCAATATATTTATCCCAGCGCACACTTTGTGTCTGCAAGATTAACCCTCTGCCGCTGTTTGGATAGTGGATGAGAAGTACAGCAGCAGTGTAGTTCCCGTTGGCGTCTTGGTAGCAACGCGCTTTGCATGACTGGAATGCTGTGTGTTGTACACTCTATTTGTACCAGTTCAGGCTGCAATGCCGGAATCCTCGCAAGGGCAAAGTCAGGATATAGTTAGTCTTTGCATTACCCCCCCCTCCTCCCTCCCCTCCCTATACGACGCATTCATTGCTTTCGCAAACAGGCCGGCCTCGCCCTGATATCTTTCCCGGTACAACGCATCATCCTTTTCTTGTAAACGTGGGCTTGTCCGACCGGCGGGCGAAACACGCTTGACAGAAACACACACGACTCGAAATAAACTCACTGAAAAAAGACTTCTGCACATTCCTTTGGACTGCTGTGGTTATATCTCGAACGGCCAGTCTTTCTGTGAGATTGCGTTCTAAAAATATATATATTGTTTGTCGGGAAGGGGTACACTGCTGCATCATAAGTTGTCGTAACTAGAGCATGTGCGAAATAACCCAATTCCCGCCCCCTCTGCCCGACGTGTGGTTCACATGATTTTAACCTGTTTTCTGCACACACACACACGCACATGCGCATTGTAGAAACGAGAAGCACCGTGGGAGGAGGCCCTTCGATCGCAGATGCCTCGCTTCGGACGACCGGATACGGTCCAGTTCAAGCCTAACTTGCCAGACGGCGGCACGTCACACTCTGCCGACAGGGATCAGGTTGCTGTGTGAGTTCCGGCTACGAGCATTTTTTTTTTCCAGAAAGAATGGTCAGATCAGGACATCCGCACCCAAATGCGGGCATCTAAATTCTGTAGCATGTCGATCGTTGACCGTTCCGGCAACGCCGAGCTCGACGACCGTGTTCGAGTCCCCCTACAAATTTTTCTTCTCGCGGAGTTGGGAGAAGTTCGCACACTAAACAGCCCATCCCCCCACCTCCGTTCCTCCTTCGTGCCATGACGCGCTCCCCCTTTGGCTGAAGAGTGTTCGCGTTCTTTCAGGAGCAGTTCGTTCTGCGCCGGGTGATGTTGAGAGAGGAGGGCAGCGGAAACGAAGAAGGGCGGCGTCTGAAGAGGCTCGTGGTGACGTTCGCATGCGCCGGGGGGGAAATCGTCAAGATTCGCTCGGACCCCGTGTGTGAGTCTTTCGATACAGCCGTTAGTTCCGGTGATGTGCGCGTTGCCCGGTTAGATAAGCTTGCTCGGGCACTGGGCCAAGAGTGTGGAGGGGGTTCAGCATGTACGGCTACAGAGTCTTCCCCCTCCCGTGCGACCCCAATGTACACCGTAGATCCTTGGGTAGAGAATTTCCCTCCTTCCGTATGTTTCCATTGTACAACCTTGTTAGGCCCCGGTATCGGGCGAGGATCGCGTTTGTTCTATTTTGTGCGTAGTTCCTGCGCTCCTCTTCTCTCTCTCTCTCTCTCTCTCTCTCTCTCTCTCTCTCTCGCGCGCGCGCAGATGCCTGCCGTACAGTTGTAGGCCCTCTATTTGGCGGGTTATCTAAGGCGAGTGCCGGCTATACGGCGGGTGAAATTGGCTGACACAGATGGAATATTCAATACGGTTAAGACATTGAATATGGGGGGTGCTCTGTGTAGGGCGAGTGAATCGGTCTGGCGCATACCCGCCTTATAGAGGGCCTACGACTGCTGTATCTCTGTCTTGTCGATATCTGGTGATAGTCCATCCCCGGCAACCCGACAGCGGTGAACCATCTCGAGTCACAATGTTCTCGTCCCTGCGTGTGCCTACCGGGGCGAGCGGCTGTGTTCTACAGAGCGAGAACCGATACAGTACACGTGCCACCCCCTAGCAAGTGCGTTGGCAGNTCGAGTCACAATGTTCTCGTCCCTGCGTGTGCCTACCGGGGCGAGCGGCTGTGTTCTACAGAGCGAGAACCGATACAGTACACGTGCCACCCCCTAGCAAGTGCGTTGGCAGGGAGTGTGATGTGCCAAAGCTCCTCTCTTTCATCCAGTCCGCGTGAGGAACAATAAACGAGAAGCCTGCATTGTTTTCCCAGCATAATAACGATTGCCTTGCCCCCAGGAACGGAACGACCAGCACGCCCATTTCCCGAAGCGCCCATGCTCTTGTAATATTAGCACCACCCTTTTTCTCCTTCTGCTTACGATGTTCGGCCCGTTGTAGATGGCGATACCGCCGCCACCGCCACCGCCGGTGGCGAGGATCCTGGCTTTCAGGTCGAGTACCGCTGGGACCACCTCCCCGAGGAGGACGCGCAGGCCGGTCTTTGGTTCCTGCTCTTCGCGTCCCTGGTAGTCACGGCCGTGCTCGCCGTGGACGTGTGCAACAGCACCGCCGAGGATCGGGATCGGGTTGGGATGTCGGGCTCGCGGGGAGGGGATGGGAGAGCGGGGGCGGCGGGCCCCCGGGTAGGGGGTGGGGGAGGCGTTTTGCGACCTTCGGGGGGAGGGGACGAGCTGCGAAGACGAAGATAGATTCACGTTTTCTGTGTCGTGGTATTCACGTTTTCTGTGTCGTGGTATATGTGCCACCTGGACGCTTCAAGTGGTGAAGCCACTAGTTAATGACGGGAATCTATAGGATAGTCATGTCCGGAAGTAGGCTGCGGTTGAGTTCTGCCCGTTGCCTCGAGTGTATAGTATTTTGCACTTTGATGCTGTTCCACGTCTTATTCCACCCAGGCGTCTCTCATAAGAATAAAGTCGTTCTTTGATAGATTTGCGACTTGTTGCCAACGAGATTTACTGTGGAAAAGGCTGCGATTGATTGCGACCGGAAGAATCAAGAGCCGTCACGCCACATACAAGCAGGATCTTTTTCTCCTTCCTTACAGCGCTGCGAAGATTCTGGAAGCTTCGCCTAACGTACCAGAATGAAGCACGCCCGATTGATACGATGTGCTCATTCGTGTCGATCACTGGGGTCCTCCCGTGGCTTCCGTGAGCTTGCCCTTGTTGCCTACCATGTAATACTGCACCGTATCACCCGCCGCCACGTCCTGCGCGGATGGCAGGGTTGCTGCAGGGTGCCCTCCGCTCGTCCAGTTCCTCCGGAGCTTTTGTTTCCGCTTTATCGTTGGCACGTGTTGAGCCCGCTGAGGGGTTCGCGCATTGCGGCAGGTTCTCAAGGCCCAGAACACGTGCCCCTGCCCTCCCCCCCTCTTCGGCTTTTGGGAGCTCTTGCGTGGGGACTCGATTTTCTTCAGTGAATATCGAAATCGCATGAGGGATGAAGAGGTACGTGCCACCACACGCTGATGGAGCAGGTGAGGTGGAGAAAAGACCCACAGAAGACTCAAACAAGTGAATCGACTCGTGTAGAGCCTATCGGGCACCCTTCGTGGGTGCTAATGGAGGAGGAGACAAACTCCTGTTCACCCCTTCCTTTTTACACCTTGAGGGGTTCGAACTTTCATGAAGTACAGCACGCCTTCTTAGGGTACGTTACCCTGTGACCACGGGAATCGACCGCGCCTCAAAACATATCAGTACAGAACTGGCCCGGAGATAAGAGAAGTCAAAATCGGGTCGAGCCTCAATTTCTTGTTTTGGGCAGAAGGATCAGCCGAAGTCGGCCCAATTTCTTACGAAGTATTGCTATTGCATCCTGCTGATTTTCTTGTTTTCTTGTCTCCTTGTGTCTGGCGAACAGAACAACACACCAGTACAGCAGCAGTGGCTGGTGGGTATAGCGCAACCCGCGGCGGTGCGGGGGCGTGGGGACCGCCGCGAAAATATCCTACCCCCCGCCCCTACCCCCCC